ATAAGTTCATCCTCCTTAACTATATATAGTTAATTAGACTGTGATAGCTCTACTCTGAATGCAGTTGACATAAGAGAAGCAAGTTTAGTTTTGGTTTTATTAATTTTTGCATTAGAAGCCTATTTGTAAGTTTTTAAAAGTTTAAAGGTATATTCCTAGTCTGAGAGAGAGCTAATTCCTATTATGAGATCATCTGCATAGGCTATAAGTTTGAAAGACTGTTGTCTTAGCTTAATACCTTGTAGATTATTTTTTAAGTTTAGTAATAAGGGTTCGAAGGCAAGTATATACAGAAGAGGTAAAAGTAGGTCCCCCTGTTTTACTCTTTTTTCTATTCTGAAAGCTTTTGTTAGTTCTCTAGTCTCAAGAATATACACTTCTTAGTTTGTAAAGAGGTTTTTGACTAGAGAGATAAACTTCTTGTCAAAGTTTATTTTTTCTAGAACTAGCTCTAGAAACTCATGACTTATGTAATTAAATACTTTTTGTTAATCTAAGAAGAGCATTTAATATTGTTTAGTATTGTCTTGTTGACTTCTTAGAGTCATTATTATATTCATTGCTACATCTGATATTGATCTGTTTTTTACAAAACCTTGTTGTTATGTAGAGATTACTTCTTGACATATTGTATTTAGTCTGTTTGCTAAAATTTTTATGAAAATTTTAGCATCACTGTTCACTAAAGAAATTGGTCTCTAATTGTTTAAATTTTTCAAATCTAAAGATTTTTTTAAGATAAGTATAATTAGGTTTTTACATCAGGATTTAGACAAAAGACTTGAAAGTAGTATTTGATTAAAAAGATTGTGTAGTAGAGATATAATCGTTTCTTCTGTAAGCTTATAGAATTTATAAGTTAGACCATTAGAGCCAAGTAATTTGTTATTCAGAAGGCTTCTGATTGTGTTTCATATTTCTTCAAGGGAGATTTCTTGTATTAATAGAGAGTTCTGTAGTCTCATTACTTGTAGAGCTTCTTTGATAATTTCATTAGCAGCAATCAAATTAATTTCTTCTTTTTTGTAAATTTTTGAGTATTCTTCTCTTATATAAGAAAAAGTACTGTTCTTGTTCTGAGCTGTATTTGAGAGATTTTTAATTTCACTAAGAGCTGAGTAAGATTTTCTAGTTTTATATTTTAAGAAGAAATATTTCGTCAATTTTTCTTCTTGCTCTATCTATTTTGTTTTAGAGTAGAGTTGCTATTTTTCTGCTAGAGTAGTAAGTTTTTTTTGCAGTTTGGAGTTAAAATTGTCTGCTTGAGCTAAAAGATAACCATTCGCAGAGTTTTCAGCAAGTTTTTTGTTTATCTGAGTAATTTGTTTGTTAAGTATTGATATTTTGCTTTCTAAAGGTTTTGGTTTTTTGAAAGCCTTAATGATTAATTGGATATATATTTTGCATAAATCCTAATTATTTGTACTCTCATTTTCTTGTATTTCTTCTATTATTTTTTTTTTTAGTCTTTCGTTATAGAAGCAGTTTTTATCAAATTTCCACAAAGGTGACTTGTTTGTATTTGATATAAACTTTAACATACATTCAACAAAAAGATGATCAGAGTTGCCATATTTGGTGTTAGTTTCCTGAATAGAGTGAGCATAGTTTTCATCTATAAAGATATAGTCTAAGTGAGTTGCTATCATTCTATTTCCTCTTGTTTTTTGAAAAAAGATATAGAAAGGTTTGTTGGTTACGAGCTCTGAGGAGTCAATAAAGTTTTTTATGAGGTCTTTAAGCAGAGCTCTTATTGGATCATTCTGTAGTGAAGACTCACTAATTCTATCATGTTCAGGATATATATTGGTATTAAAGCCTCCTGTGATAATGTTTATCATGTTTTCTATTATTTGAGAGGACCAGTTGTTGAAAAAAATTAATTACTCACTTTGACTAGGAGATGCATAGACATTTGTAAGCTGAAAGGTTAAATCTTTATAGCTAAAGTTTGTAATTATAACTCTACTATTTGCTTCTGTTTTGGAGTTTTAGAAAGTAATATTTTTGTTGCCTGCTAATATAGCTGTTTTGTTTGACCATATTGAGTTAAAAGTTTATTATTGTTGTAAAAAAGTTTGTGTATCTTTGTTGTTAAAATTTGTTTCTTGTAGCATTATAATATCTAGATTATAAGACTTAAGAAGTATAAAAGTATTTTTTTGTTTCTGTTAATTGTTTAGTCCTTTAATGTTTAGAGTTCTGATTTTTATCTTTGAATTTTTAGGCATACAAGTTGATTTGAGATGAGATTCTAGATCTGTGCATTTTGGCTCTTGTTATGAGTTTTTTCTTATAAGGAGCCATTCTCAATTCTTCTTGTTTTTGTGTAGCTACTTTCTTTTTGTCTTTTTTTCTTTTTTTTGTAACAGTTATATATTCTTCTTCTGAACAATCAAATTCTTGTAGTTACTGATTATTGTTTTCAATAATAACCATAGGAGAGGTTGCTTCTTAAGCTGTTTCTTTGTTAGAGGTAGTATTGTCTGTCATGTTTGTATCTTCAGTATTTAAAATTATATTCTTTGTTCTTTTTGGTATGCTAGTTTGAGTATTATTACTCTCATTAGTTCTAGAGGTATCCTGTTGCTCTTCTGTAGAAGAGTTTTTAGGATATTTATCTGTACATATTTCTTGAGTTGAAGAAGAAGAAGCTGATATAGTTTTTTCCTCTAGTGGGCTTGAGATAGGTTCTGAAGTTTTTTTCTTATTCTTATTTCTTTGATACTCTTTAAAATGGTGATGGAGTGCTAAGGCTTCTTGATGTTGTTTACAATCTCTTTTGACATGGCCTTCTTTGTCACAGAAAAAGCAAACCTTAGAAGCTAATTTCTATTTTGTAGTAATTTTGTTTTCTAGCAGTTTGTAGAAATGAGGAATTCTTTTTTCCAAGTCTGAGTCATTTGTAATATCAAAAATAACAATCTACTGGTTTGTTAAATAAGAAGTTTCTTCGATTAGGAGTAGTTTAATTGAAGCAATTTTTCCCACATCTTTGAAGACTTCTTTAATAGTTTCAGAGATTGGATTTTTTTCTAATAGAGAAACATTTTTAATTTTGACTAGAAGAAAGGATCTTCTATTATCTATAAGAATAGAACCAAGATATGTTTTGTTAAAGATATCTACTCCTTTAACTGTATACTCATGAAGTTTTTCTTTGTTAGCAAAGACAATTTCTAAGTGAGTATGGATTCTTTTGCTAATATGTAGTTTTGCTACAACTATATCATTTCCTACATTATTATAGAGAAATATCATGATATCATTTAGAGAACAGTTTTTTAAACTGTTAATATCTAGTACTAAGGTATTATCATTTTTGAATCTGATAGTACTTCTCAGAGAAAAAGAAGTAAAAATAGATTGGCCTTTTTTAACCTTAGCAAATAGGCTAGACCAGAATTTTTTTTGGTTCTCTTAAAAACTCAAGGTATTTGCAAATGTTTTAAGATGAGATTCATTTGTTGACATAATACGTACATCTGTTGTTTTGGTCATGTTGATGTTGTTTTGTATAACGTCATGTGTTTTTTCATCTGTTGTTTTGTTTCCTTTGTTCTACTTCTTAAGAAATATTAGCTTTTTCTTTTTTAAGCTCTTGGCTTACTTTTTCATCCTAGTTAGAGAAGCTAATTAATAGTTTCTTTTGTTTAGAGTTATTATTATTTATATCTTTTTTGCTAGTACTTGTAGCAGAGTAAAGATTTTCTTTGTTGCTATTGCTAGCTTGTGAGCTTTCAGAGAGTATAATTTTTTTATTTCTTATATTTTCTAGATATCAAAATTTATGTTTTTTGAAACTAGAGCTAGAGCTCGAGTTCTGTTAAAAAAAAAAATTTTAGTTTCTTTAGTATTAGATATTTTGTAAAAGTTTTTACTCTCGAACCTAACTTTATATAGTCAGAAGAGAGTACATATAGATCTACTACTATATTTTCTAATTTATCCTATATGATTTAATTATTTCTTACTTACTATTATACCTACTCCTGAGTCTTTGCTTTTGTCTTTTTCTGTATTGGTTTAAAAACTATCTATATTTTCTTGGTGACTCGTTAAGTATTAGCTCTCTTTTTCAGAAATATTTGTTTCTACTATTTCTACTATATCTTATTTTCTTCTATAAATTTGTCTATTAATATTTTTACTTTATGTCTATTACCTTTTAATCTGTTTATATTATGAGCTGCTATATTGATACTTTTCCTGACCTCTTGCATACTTATATTTTCTCTATTTGTTCTAAAGCTTTTTTTTATTTAGTTTGTCTCTTGCTTTGCTTTGTTTTGCTATACAAGTTTTCCTTCTTGTATATACAAGGCTTCTTTTAATTCAACTGGCATGAAAATTAGAAGTGATTTGGATATTTTATCTCCAAATCTCTAATTTTTCCTTCCAAGTTTTGCATTAATTGAGCTATGTCATCTAAAGATCTGTTATAATTTCTATGATAGCTTTGCCTATTTAGTTCTCCTCTTTCATTACTTCTTATTTTCCTTTAGGAGTTACTTTTTCTTTCTACTTTATGTCTTTCTTCTTCGCTATTACTTAGTGAGATCTGAGCTTTTCTATACCTATTCCAGTTTTCTTTGTGCTTATTTAAAGCTAAACTAATTAAAGCTTCTTGCTGATAGCTTTCTCTTCTTCATACTCTTTCTTGAACATATTTTGAGCATTCACCTTCTTGTTCTTGTTCAAACTCCTTTTTTTTCTTTAAACTTTTCTTACTTCTTCTTGTAACTACTTCACTTTCTTTATAATCTTTAAGTCTTTGGTTTTTTTGTGATTCTACTTCTTGGTTACTTGTATTTGTATTTGCTCATCTTAGCTTATTATTGTAATAATACATTAAAAACTTAGAGATATTTATCATATCTTCTTAGTTTTCAAAATATACTATTGCACTACTCATATTATTATTATTGGTATTTTAGAAAATATGTAATACCTTAGCTTCAGATTTTTTGACTTGTCTCCAGAGTAGTACTTCGTTCATATTTTCTGATAGATTTAAGAGTTTTCTGCTAAATCTATTTCTTGTACAAAGTAGTTCAACATTGTTAGTACCTGCTATTACCTTTACTAATATTTGGTTCACAAAAGGCAAACACCAAGTCTTATTCTTTTTCTTTTTATCAAAAGTGTTTACTTTGAACTCAATCTCTGCTCATGTTTTATCATATACACTTTTGATTATCTCTATATATTCTACTCTTTCCATAAAGTGAACTATCTCAAAAACTTGAGTTCTTTTTGTCTAGTTTAGTAAGTCTCAAACTGTTATCTTGTTCACTTCTTTGTTTTTATTTGAATTGATGAAGCCTTGCTGTATTTTGACATTTTCTTTACTAGTATCTTCTTGTTAATCTGAAATAGTTATAGCCTTCTTTTTTCTTCTCATTAGAACTTCTTCTAGTTCTATTTTCACTTGTTCTTCTCTTTTTTCCTTTATATCTAAGGTAGCTATCTTTATATCTTGAATATTCGAGGGTTGAGTAGTATTATCTTCCTATATGTTATCTTTATGAATAAGTTTAGCTTGTTCATATTCCTCTTTTTTGTTTTCTAAATTCCTCTTAGCCTCTTCATAACTTTTTTCGCAGTTAAAGATTAATGTACACTACAAATTACCCTACTCAAATTTTTCAGATACCTCTTTGAGATATACATTTCTTCCTATTATCTACTTTAAAGATTTTTCTCTATGACTTGTATTATTTCTGAGTACTTTTATAGCTGCTACCTTTGCTCTTATAATCTTTTTCTCTTCACATCTATCTTTACTTAGTATCTAGATACTTTTTTTGAGAGAAGATTTAGACTCTGCTAGTGATATATCTTCTTTTGTTTTATCTATAGTATCCAAGTATAGGTTTGGAATAGATTTAAAAATTTCTTCTTCTTGGATTTCTTTAACATCTTTCATTAAGCTAAAGCCTTCTTTACTTCTTTTATTCACTAAGAATTGTTTTTCTAGCAAAGTTTGTCTTCTTCTATGCCATTAACTATCTTTAAGGCATTTGTTAGATCTATCATTTTGATATCTAATTTACTTTTACTTTTTTGCATCATTACTTCCTCTCTTCTTTCTGTTGTATTCTGTGTTATTTGCTCTAGTACTATTTTAACTCTATCAATTCCTTCTGTTATTACTGCTTTTTCTATTACTTTTCTCTATTCTCTCACTACTGTTACTATGTTACTTTCTACTTCTAAGATCTCTGCAATCATTTTATCTATATGATCTTCTAACCCTATTACTATATTACTTTCTTCTGCTATTATTTCTTTGCTATATTCTTTTGTTACTACTTCTACTAGTCTTGTTGCTTTTTCTCTATTTTATATATCTTTAGATTCTTGTCTTAGATATTTGCTTTGCTTCTTGTTTTCTAATTTAACTGTATCTATATTCTATATTTAAAATGACTTTATCTTTTTAACTAAATTCCTAATGAATTTTCCTGGTTGCCTATAAAAAATCCAGTTCTCATCTTGTATACCTCTTTTCTATTGGTTAGTTATATGTCATATCCTATCAATTTTTATCACGCATCTATTTGTTTATCTATTTTTTATATATTTGTATTACAAGATCTGATCTGCGATTCAAGGTAACAACAATTCTTCAAAAAATTAAAAATTTTCTAAAAAATTTTTGAATTTTTTTTACTTCTTCTTATTTTCTTGTAGTAGTAATAAATTTTTCTTGTCTTTCTACTGTGTAATATATATTTTCTTGCTATTTTTCTTTTTATTTAGTACTTTTAGTACTGTTTCTTAGTCTCGATTTTAACTTATTTCTGTTTTTTTTTTGCTCTGGAATTGGTAAAAATGATCTATAGAGAGAGTGTGTATAATGAACCTATTTTTTTAGTTATTTTATTATTATTTTATTATTATATTTTAGTTATATTATTAGTTATATTTATCAGTATTTAGTCATTTCTTATATTGTATTATTTTAGTATAGATATTTTAAAATAGAAAATTATTGTAAACATTCATTTCTAAGTAAAGTACCTCAAAAAGCAATCATAGCAAAAAATACACTTAAGTAACTTTGTAGCCAAGAATATTAGCTACATAATAATATAAGTTACATCTAATATTATTATATAATATCTAAAGAAAATATAGACTATAGCAAGAAAATACTATACTAAAACTATACTAGACTGTACTGAATACTATACTGAATTATGCTGAATACTTTGCCTAGAACTATACTAAATACTATACTAATACTATACCAGACTATACTAAAAGACTATGCTGAACTGTGCTGAACTGTGCTGAACTGTGCTGAGTACTGTGCCTCTTACTGTACCAAACTATTAATAGTAATACTTAACTGTTACTTATACAAATGCTTAAGTGACGCTTGTATAAGTTGCTTATATAACATTTTGTTAACACTTACACAATACTTGCTAAAAGTTATAAATACAAATAGAATTCCCTCTCTTGCCTTTTAGTTGTTTAGACTTTAACTCCTTCTTCTTTTCTTGTACTTGACTCTAAATATTTATAATTAATAAATATATTGTTATTAAATAAATCTAAATGAACTAAGGTCTCGCGATCTTAGTGTAGTAGTTAGGTTGCCAGACCGCCATGCAAGAGGTCTGGGGTTCAAATCCCACTGTCGACGAATTTGAATAATTACCCGGAC